TCATACACACTTGGATGTGCTGTGGTGAAGAGCCAGGTGGACAAGAAGTCAGAAGGTATGGACCCTTTCTAGAACCTCACGGCTCTGCGACCTCCAACATTCCTGTCCTCTAAATATATCTGAAGTTGCAGTGTGGGAAGGTAGAAAACAATGCCCATTCCACTCGGAGCTCTGTTTCTTCATGGAAGGCCACCCTCAGGTGCTGGGCTCCTACTGACTGTACAGTCCATGTGGACAGGGAGTGCTTGCTCCAGTGAAGCCCCACTTTGTGCCTGTCAGAAAAAGCATGATAATAATATCCCACGCAGTGCAGGAAAGGGCATGCTTGAGGTTCCCAGTACCTGACAGGGTCCGAAGGGGAGAGCTTACTAGCAATAACTACATCATGCACATGTGACCCCATGCTCACCAAGCCCTCCAAGCTGCAAGACAGCCAGCGGGTTGCAGCCAAGACAATAAACCATGGGCCATGTTGCAACTGTTTTCTGAAAGAAAAGCTCAGGAGAGAAATGTGTTCCGACCAAGCCAATGTTCAGACAGAGGCTCTTCTTAATAATTTTAGACTTATGTTGAAGTCCAAAAATAGATTTTGCACCACAGCCAACTTTATATGCACTAGCTTTTCTCAGGAGTTTTTTGTATAACTACAAGTCTCTCTTATAACCCCTGGACTATAACCATGAACAAGGGAGGAATGATGAATGACTTTGCCATTTGATCTCTCTTTTTAACAGAAGACCCTTTATAGAGAACCTTGTGGTCCCAGCGGTGTGCCAGTTCCCCTTTCCCTTCCTACTGTACTCTGAGCCCACTTCCCCAAACTCTGTTTTCCAGAGGAGATGGGGTCACCAATGGGCCACCTCCAGGAGCCACCGGCCCTCCACCAACATGGTTCATAGGGGTGGACAAAGCACATTTATTGGCTCAACCTCCCTAAGTATCCTGAGATGTCAACATTATAACCCCAATTCACAGGTGGGGGTTTAAAGAATACAACCAAGGTCACAGAGCTGCTAGGTTCTAGAGTGGGCCCTGTATTTTCAGACTCCTTGTCTACATTGCTCTTGACCCCACAACACATCCAAATGTGTTTGAGGGAAGGGAAGGAAATAGAAATCACAATAGTCATTTTTAACTTGCATCTGGAATTCAGCTAAATTAGCTAAGAATGTTTTACCTGAGAAAGAAAAGATTTATATGGGGATTGATAGATTGTATTATTGGCTCAAATTCCCCTCCCCTCCTTGTTCTCACATCCTTTGACATACAGCTTTACAGTTTCTCACACAAAAGGTGCAGAATACATTTTCCCACCCAACTCTGACATATGGTGGCCAATGGCTTGGGGTGAAAGCAACAGTATGCTGGTTCAAAGACTAGACTTCAAGAGCCCAGCATGCTGCCACTTGCTCTCTGGTCCCTGGGAAGAGCATGCCTGGGTCCCAGGAGGCGCATGAGAGATACGTAGAGCAGAGTCACACCAGCCAAGATGCCTAGCCAAGACCAGTTCAGAGCAGAGAAAAACCCAGCTAATCTGCAGCAAAGACTCCCTCACAGTTCAACTGAAGCAGCCTGCCCATGGGGCAGTAGGCACCTCCTCTGTAAGGATTGGTGAAGGGGAGCCCTACCAGGGATGCTGTCAGAGAATTCCTACTCTGGGAAAGAAGTTGCACCATACCGGTAGTTCCAGACTGGGAGTTTAAGTGTGAGTAAAGTTACTCTAAAGAATTTGGAAATCAACACAGGGCTGCTGCTACCTTTGTGCTTTTCTGAGCAAAGGCAATATATAAAAATAACTATGGCCCACTATCACCATCAACTCATAAAAGATAGGATATTTTAACACTAAAACTCAGGAAAGGATGTTATCTTAGAATACAATACAGTCCTTTCCAAGCAAAGATTGTTGGCCACCCTCCATATGTGAGCCTTTTCTTTTCATTCTGTCACAGACCAATGAAAATTTTGTCACTAAATAGCTCCAGTCCATGTACTAGCAACTTCCTTGCATGCTTAATGGTAGAAATGTCAAAAGATTGTGAAATCAGTTACATAAACCGCAAGACTTAAATCACAGCCCTGTTAGTTCTGTGACAATATAAAAGTTCCTTTTTTTTTTTTATCAGTATAGAAAATAAGGCTAAAGATAAATCTGAACACCTCCTCTATGCCTTCTCCACTGGCTGCCACAAGCACAGCCAAGCACCCAGTGCCCCCGCCAAATCCCCACCTCCACAGAGCTTTGAGTTGAGTTATGCAGGCACCAAAGATGCTCGTGTTATGCTTCCATGATTATAACAACGTATGAATGAAAAGGAGAGCAGTGTCCCAATGGGGAGCTCTCTCAGGGGCCAGAGGAACACGTAACTGAGACAGAAGTGAGAGGCAGGCAATCCTCAGATCCAGCTCCAGGGCCACAGGGCTCAGTCATCCATGTATGCTGACTGCCTGCTTTCTGAGCCTTAAAGGGCCTCCATCCTCCTGTGGGATGTGTGAGGCCTGGGAGAAGGAAGGGGTGTAAGAGAGGATGGCTCACACCTCAGTCTCACTCATCAGGCCCAGAGGGGACTCACGTGTCAACCAGAACTCAGTGCAGAGAAGCAAGGGTTGTTCACCAGAATCGGAGAGACTGAATTCTAATTCCAACTCTGACCCTTTGTCCATTTTTCCTGTGGATACTTACTAAGGTAGGTGTTTGGGGGAAATGGACAAAGCCCTTAGTTTCACAGGCTTATATTCAGGTAGGAGAGCAGACCAAAAGCAAATGAGAAAAATACCAACTGGGTGAGAAATAAACAGGGTGAACTGAGAGAAATTGGAGAAGGCTGCTTTAAGCAAGGGGTTCAGGAAAGGCTTCTCTGAGAGGGGATATTTAAGATGAGAATGGAGAAGGTATTAGCTCTGCAAAAAACAAGGGAAGGAGCAGGAGCAAGCAGAGCCAGAACAAGAACAAAGGGCCTGAGGCAGAAAAGGAAATGGCTTGTTTGAGGAAGAGGGAAAAAGCCAGAGTGGGGAGCAAGGTAGACAAGGGGAGAATTAGGGCATGAGGCTTCGGTGGGAAGCAGGACCCACATCTGGGCCTTGCAGCACAACATGAAGTCTGAAGTTCATTGCAAGTATCAAGGGAAGCAGATGGCACTGAGCAGGGAAGCAATGAGATCTGGTTTATATTTAAAGATTTTCAGGATGGTGTGCAGAGGATGAATTGCAGAGGGACCAGATGAAGGAGACAGGCAGGGAGGACAGTCCTGCATGGACGGGTGGTGCCTCTGTGACCTTGGGCAGTCCCTAAGCAGTGCTGCCGCTCAATCATCCCATCTGTAGTCAGGCTACTGCCTGAACTTCATTGTTCACACACTCTCTGGGCTCCCTGAGGTGGGGATGAAGGAGCACAGGGCCTTGCTCACCTCTACATGATTTCTTCTAACCAGTCCAGCTGCCTTTCCTAGAGCTAGAGCCAGGCCCAGTGCTTGCCTATGGGGCCTCCCTATCAGCCCCCAGGATCCCAGGATCTCTAGTGCCCATCATGACATTGGGTTCATCTCTCCCTCTGGATGGAATTGAGAACATGGAAACTGGCCAGAATCAGGTGGGCCGTTCACATCACCAGAACAAATTCAGGGGAAATACAGGCCAAAGAGGAGGCCAGTCAAGCTCCCAGGAGGCTAGCAGAAGGGAAACAGAGGAGGTAAAGGTCAGATGAGTGCTAATTGTGGCAGGAGAGATCAATTCCAACCAGGGGATTTCTCAGGCAAACATGAGCTCAATGCTGATAACAGAGGGCAGGCTAAGCTGCAGCTTATCCAGAAAAACCTGACTTTTTGGTCAGGCTGCTGGAGATGGAGAGGCCATATGGAGCAGAGGGATCTCAGCCAAGTCTACCCTAGATAAGCCAGCCCCAGCTGACCTGCCAGCTGTCTGGGGACACAAAAGCAAGATTATCTGAGACTGGCCCACTCCAGAAGAACTGCCTAGCTGATTCAGAAACTCATAAATAAATAATAATTGCTTGTTTGTTTCAAGCTACTGAGTTTTGGGGTGATTTGTTACGTAGTATTAGCTAACTGCTACAAAGGGGTTTCATGGCCAATAGCCACTCCTATTTAATTGTAGCAAGTCTGTGCTGAAATCACAATCGTGTTTTCCTATTTGAGGGCTCCATACGTTCAGATCACTGGATGGGGTTGTTAGCATTGAGATATATTCTTGACCTTGACTTGATAAGTTTCCTGGTGACCTTATGAAAACTTCCTCCCCAATTTGGGCCTATTTTTTACCTGCAGAATGAAGAGATTAGATATGTTCAGGGAACCTCTTCCTCTAATGTGCTGTTTGGATGACTCTAACCTCTTCTTTCAGCCACTGTGTCATCTAACCAACAAGTATGTACTCAGAGCCTGCTGTGTGCAGGCTATGGTTGGGATCTGGGGATGCAAGATCATACAAGATATGGGCCCTGCCCCCAGGAGCTCACGGTCCACCGAGAGCCACTGTCTTGTGAGTATAGAATAAGATGCCTCTGAGGAGTTCTTGATGGCCAAGGGGACTGTGAATGAGATCAGTGGGCAAGTTGTGTTCAACTTCTCGGCTTCTCAGCAGAGAGAGGAGCATGTATGGTCAGAATCCCTGGGGCCTCTTGCCTCCTGGACTCCAGCTCTGAGACACTGTGCCTTGGTCTCTAAGGGCCACCATTAACGTCACTCAGTATTTGAGCACATGCCCTGGAGAAATGAGAACTTGTGCCTTGAACTCAGCACATTCAAGGAGCAAATAAAGGACACACATGGGACCCCTCCCCACTCCACTCTCACTCAGATGAGCGAGGAACACTGATCCTTTACCCTGGGAGACTGGCCGATCTTTGTGGGGCAGAGCGGAATTAGCAGAAGCTAAAGCCTCTGCTCCCGTGATTACAGCAGTCCTTCAGGACCTCCTGGCAAACTCAGACAAAGGCAGAGATGTGGAAATTATCTGCCCAGGGGCCCGGAAAGCCAGCCTACCATGGAACCAGGGGGCAATGGATTTGGTGTTCCTCTCAAAGCCAGCTCGGCGAGGCAGCTGCTCCTCCTTAAACCAGCGGACTGTGACTTCTCTGGAGACAGGACGCAGTGGGCGCTCCCAAGTCCTGCTGAGAAGAGAGACAGAGTGTGGGAGAGCCTGAGAGAGGAGGGGAGGGAGGGGAGAGGAAGTAGAAGGGAGGGAGGGAGGGGAGGAGGGAGGCCACCATGAGAATGAATAAGTGTGATGCCCACACTCACGCCTGTGGAGAGCATTAAATGAGCCCAGGTACTTGTAGTACTTTGCAGATTATAATGTACCAGCTGTTATTATTTTTCCCAGAAGAAAAATGTTATCACTTGCTTGGAAAAAAGCCACACAGGTGGGAGTAGAAAAGAAGATAGGGGGGGAAGAAAAGGCACATTTTCCCCCACAGAATAGTCATGGCATGAACATAAGCATCCATGAAGGATCCTAATGAAACAGGAGCCAATTTATTAACACATGACTGTCCTCTGCCCCCAACCCCAAGCCCCCTGCTAAAGAGAATTCTGTTTTTGCCCCTTTGTATCTCCCCCATCCCCTGCTTTCTAAGGGGACACCTGCCTTTGCCAGCTAACTTCCAGGCTTTTTTGTGAGGCAGAATCAGGACAGTGATCAGAGAGAAGTCAGACAACTTCAGTTTGCTCTGGAGATGGCTGAGATTCACCACCAAGAAATTAAAAGGAGAGGGCAGGGAACGAAACACTGCCCTTGGGGGCTCTGGACAGAGAATCTGATGAGGTTTGAAACTACTAAGAATAAGCTGAATGGGGCACTTAAAGAGATTCATGAGTAATGAATTGGATATGTTTAAGTATTTTCTCACAAGCAAGCCAAGATTTTAATTGTTTTGTGTCTAAACCGTGGTTCTTGAAAGCATGCAAAGACAGTACCTGTAAGACCCCTGTCTGTCGGCGCTCCACTAACACGAATCACAGGTAAAAGTTTGCCAGCACAGGACGCATGACAGGCCTACATCACTACCTGTTGAATCACTATGCAGCAAGATCATGTTGCATTGATTTACAGTATGAGGATACAGCATCTGAAGAACAGGCCTCTGCACAGTATGAACAACCACAGCTTTTTCACTTTCCAACTGAGCGAGAGAAACCGGCAAATTCTTACTGTGTCATCCCTAGCCCCCTTTATAGTACAGCACTTAGAACTCAACACTGCTGTCGTCACATTTTATGAAATAAACTTCAGCTGTCCCTTCCTATAGTCTCTGTATTTGCCTGGCACCAGTGCTGTGACAGAGAATTCAGCACTTCCATGCAAACCCCAGAACAAGTTCATATTTTTACTTGCCCGAAAATGAATCCACTCACACATACACATACATGAACCTGTGGCTTTGAGAAAGACGTCATGAGAAAGGCAGAGGGTGAGGTCCCCTGCCCGGCTTAAAGCCTCCATCAGCCGAGTTCATTCTCCAAAGCCTGGCTTTCCCATGGCCACCTGCCCAGGCTCTGCCCCACCCTGCCCACCCTGTGGGATTTCCCCTCCTGGATAACCCCAGATGCCTTTCTTCTTTGTTAAAGACAATGCTGCATCCCTGTCCCAGCCTCCTTCTTTACACCTGCATTTCTCAGTAGATAACTGCTCCAAGGAGAAAATCCTCTGGTTTCTAGGACTCATTCTCCTAAGAAGGCAAGAGGTTATAAATAACAGCAAGGAAAAGTCATTCAGTCTTGTCCCTCTGTCTCTAAGCAGAGAATCTGATTCACCAGAATATAAATGCTAAGATGGGTGCTCCATGAGGCCACCTGGCCAGGAGTCCTCACTTCTCCACCTGGAACTCTCTCCTATCAACAAGTGTGAGTCCACACCTCAGTACAGCCAGACGAGGGTGTGCTGGCCAGTGCCGAAACTGCAGTGCTGAGAGCGGTGAGGCCACAGTGCCTGTCCCAGGACACAGCCCAGGAGGGGAGCTGACACGTGGCCTCTTCCAGTGGCTGGCTCTGCCACTCCATCTGTGTGGCCCCTGGTCCTCCTCAGCAGTTCCCTGTGGCATCGCTGCTCCCCTCCTGACAACTACACAAGGCCAGCCTGAAGCCAGGCTGTACCATGATCCCTACAGCTCCAACCTGGGGGCCTGAACTCCCTCCTGTATGCACCCCTGTTCATTTGCAAACCTGTTACCAGAACCCCACGTGCACCAGGTGACAAGAGGCAGCCAGCCCTGGTCTCCAGGCTGCTGGGCCATATTTAACTACTGTAGGTCTTGTATCACAAGCTCTTAACCTAGGGTATTGGAGACCTTTAAGATCTTGAAATTACATGCACACATTTTTGGTTATTTATATATGCACATTTTGTAGGGAAGAGGGTATGCAGCTTTGTTTAGATTCTCAAAGGAATCCTAGTCCCCAGTACGTTAAGACTGCCAGAACTCCAGAGTTATTAGGAATCTCCAAAGCCAAGTCCTCTCTTCTCCCTCCTGCCCCATTACACGGACTGGGACCTCAAGGCCCGCACAGCAGAAAGGATTAGCCCCAAATTTCACGGCACTGCAAGTCGGAGGCAGAGCAGGGACTGGATCCCAGTGTCCCGCTCCCAGCCAGAGGCCCTCCCCCAGCCAGGCTGCAGATGCAGAGTCCCCCGCACCCACCCGACAGGCACGGCGAGGGGTGGCAGCGGCCCCTGGCCTGGCAGGTGGTGGTAGAGTCTGGCCTCCTGCTCATGGCTCTGGCCAAGCTCTCGGAACCTGGAGCTGAGGCCGGCGACCGTGCCCTTCTGGATGGCGCGGAGCGAGTGGCGCCGGTACTCGTCGCGGGCGCGCTGGGCTCGGCGGCTCCTCTCCTCGTCAGCCTCCTTGGACCTGCGCACTGGAAAGGGTAGAGAGCGCGCTCAGCGGACCCGCAGCCCAGGCGGCACGGGGCTGGGCCAGGGGCGCGGGACCCACCCAGAGCCCCAGGATTCACCCGGATCTGCTCCCCAGAATGACAGAGCAGGCCCAGCCCTAGACAGCAGCCCTCGGTTAGCCTGTCCCTGTCGGGGTAAAGACACCCAGGGCAGTTTAGGGTCGTCTGGCTGTTCCTGTGGCCCTGTTCCGGAAAGAGCAAGCAACCTTTGACTGGAAATTTACTTCTCCATATGTATTTCTTCCTGGGAGTGCCCTGCTCAGAGCAGCTCCTCAAATCCTGTGCCCACTTGCCCAGCCTCAAGGGCACCTGTCAAAGTGGTCAGCATTTCCAATAACACTGTCACCCACACTGATTGCAGGCTTTCTCTGGGCTCCCTGCTTTTCCAGCAGTATCTCATTATAGACACTTCCCCCAGCCACAGGAGAAGGGCATGGAAACCCAGCCTCCGTGAAGCTGAGTAACTTGCCAAAAGATAAATAGCTAATAGGGAGGGAGGTGGGATTGGAACCGGGTGTGTCTGCCTCTAAACTCACACATTCTCTCTACTACATGAACCCCACCTCTCGAGCATCCTTCATTTTAAAACCAGGCAGATATGACACCAGAGCCCCTGCTCTTCCCTACAAAGAGCCAACAAGCATTTAAGACCATCTAGTCCAACCTCCTCACATTACTTAGGTAGAAACTGAGGCCCAAGGAAGGACAGTGACTTGCCCCTGGGTCAGTGGCCACACCCAGCCAGGAGCCACCCTCTCTGCTACCACAGAATGAGTTGCTGGAAACAGTGGTGCCCCAGTTCTGACACCCTCTCTCTTTGGTTTCCTGTGGCCCTGACAGCTGGTGGGTGAGCGTGTTGGAGGGAGAAGGGAAAGGATCCTTTGATGGCTCCGTCACTCCACAGGTTACAAAACTCCAAGCTGCCCCTCTCCAGCCTTGCAGATTTCGGTCTGCAAGAGCCATGAAAAGACATCTGCAAGTTGCTGCTTCTAGAGCTCAAAAGGGAGTAGTGAAACTGGGAAAATTCTGAGAGAGTTAATAAAACCTGTTGGAGGCAAGATCTAGAATTAAAACCCAATATTCTGTAGTCTGACTGCATCTTGTCAGGCCCCTGTCTGCCTCTAAAAATCCTTTGGTAGAGAACTTTTGGAGCTGGCCGTGTTCTTCTAATTAGGCACAACTAGCCATTGCAGTGGCCTGAGCAGGTCACCTTCCCCTCCTGGAGTAAAATCTGGGTACACTGTCTATTTCTATTCCATCCAATACAATGTGTAGCAAGCACCTGCAGCCAGTGTTAGAAAACTGCAGTCTCTTAGCATTTGGAAGATACAAGGTGAAGAGCCCTGGTCCCAAAAGGAAACTCTTATACTTCTCAAGTTGTCAAAGACTCTTTTTCAAAACATGCCATCCCCAGATCTGAGGAAGACAGCATGAAGTCTGTCTGTCAGAAGGTATTTATGGAAGTGGAGGTCACATGCTGAGGATCCTATAGGCTATGAGCCCCACCAGGACAGGTGGGGAATTTTCTTTGGTCTATTCATCACTATATTGCAATGCCTAGAATACATGTATATTTGTCACCAGGAGATACATATTCTTGGATAGTTGTACCCAATTATGTATTTAACTCTGTGCCAGGCCCTGAGCTGGATATAGAGATAACAAAGGCCAAACTGTTCCCTCAAGGCATTCAGAGCCTAGCTGGGAAAATAAGAAACATCTCTAACACAATGGGAATGGGGACAAGAAAGTATTGTCAGCGTTTGGTGACAACTGCACTCACATTCTGTGAATGAGAAAGGAGCCATCGCAGGAGTGGGGGCATCTGACTGGGTCCAGGCAGGTCAATAGGAGGTTTCCAGAGGAAAAAAAGGGAGGAAGCCACCCCAGGGAGAAAACCAAGGTTTCATTGGCTCATTTGTAAGTTCTGGATGCTAATAACACCACAATGCCTGCCTTGTATCGGGGTGAGAGGCTCAAACAAGGCCAGGATGCTTGGGCATTGGCTTCGCAGACCCTAGACTTCAAACTAAACAGAGAAGCTTGTGCCCTACAAGGGCCAGTGACCTTCGAGCGCTTATAGCCCTTGAGAGACAGTAACAGACAGGTTGCAGAACAAAGCCATATGGCAAACTAGAAAGACAGGTTTTTGGAACTTAAGTAGTTGAGGCCCAGAGCCAATGATACGCAGAGACTGAACTCAACGTCCCAAAGCCCAGGTCTAATCTTACCATTCTCTCCCTCAAAAGCCTTCAGTGGCAACCGCTGCACACAGGGTAAAGGGCAAACTCTTTGGCCTTTAAGAAGTGTCCTTTCTGCCCTTGTTTCTTTCCCAGCCCAGTGGGTCTCTGAGCTCCAGCCCACACTCTGCACTCTCGCTCCACTGAGCTCCACACTGTTCTGCAGACTCTCTCCTGTGCTTGTGTTCACCAGGCCATACTAACCACAATGAACCGGAGTCAGGTCTGCTCAGAATGCCAGGCAACCGTGCCGAGGGCACTCAGAGGGGAGGAAGCAGTGATGCTGCAAGCAGGCAGCAGGGTCTCTGCCTCAGCCTCTACCAAGCCACCCCTGCTGCCCAGCCCCAGCGATGGAAACAGCCCAGTGTGGAGTCAGACAGGGTCAGGGCAGCTCCCAGGCAACTTTCTTGTTTTTTTTTCCTCTCCTAGCATTTTTTTTTTTGAGATAAAATTGACATATAATATTCTATAAGTTTAAGGTGTTGGTTCATTTATATATTGTAATGATTGCTACCACAGCATTAGCAAATGCCCCAATCATGTCACATGATTATCATTTCTTTTGTGGTGAGAACATTTAAGATCCAGTCTCATAACAACTTTCAAGGACATAATACATAATTGACTCTAACCACTATGCTGTGCATTAGCTCTCCAGGACTTACTCATCCTCTAACTGCACGTTTTTACCCTTTGACCGACATCTCCCCAGTTTCTTTGCCACCTGCCACCCCAGGCCCTGGTAACACCATTCTACTCTCTGGTTCTGTAAGTTGAGGTTTTTTAGATTCCACATGTAAGTGATATCATACTTTCCTTGTCTTTTTCTCTCTGACTTATCTCACTTAGCAGAGTGCCCCCAAGGTCCATCCACATGGGCAGGATCTCCCTCTTTCCTCAGGGCTGAATAATATTCCCTTGTGTTATAGATATCATGTAGATATAGACATAGACATAGATATAGATATACTACATCTTCTTTATCTGTTTATTCACTGATGGCTGCTTAGCTTGTTTCCAGATCTTGACTACTGAGCATAATGCTGCAATAAACATGGAGCACAGATTCCTTGTCAGCAGCCTCTTCTCATTTCCTCTGGATATATACCCAGAAGTGGAATTGCTGCATGATATGGTAGATCTATTTTTCATTTTTAAGTAACTTCTGTACTGTTTTCCATAGTGGCTGCACCAATTGACATTCCTACCAAAAGTGCACAGGGGTTCCCTTTTCTCCACATGCTCACCAATACTCCATGCCAGCTTTCTTAAGAAAGCCCCTGAACCAGTCTGGCCTCAGCTTCCCCCTCTAGCAAAATGAGAACAGTATGAATGTCTGTCTCACTGAGTTATTGTGAAGAGTAAATGAAACATGGAAAAACACCATTAAGCTACAAAGTGCTTTGGAAAAGCCATGTCTTATTAAATCAGGCCTCAGAACTTGATATTTTCTTCCAATCTCCCAAAGCCTGAGTCTGGAACCAGGATGCCTGGGTTCAGATCCTAGCTCCTTTTACCCGCTGGGTGACACTGCACAAGTCACTTTCATAACCCTGGGCCTCCATTTCCTCCTAAGTAAATCAGAAACAATAATAGTCCATACCTCATAAAGTTGTTATGAGGATTATGAGAGCTAATAGTATAAGCCATTTAGAACCGTGTCAGGTACATATTAAGCACCATGTTAAGTGTTAAATACAATTTTTATTTTCATTAGCCCTTCTAGTGCGAGGTCCAGAATGAAGCCATGAACAGTTCTTGGCCAGCCCAGGAGGGGGCACCCTTGTTGCTCGATCACATGGAATGGGCTCTGGGTCGGTTTAACAGCCGCTTACCCTAAATTACACTTGGAAATCTTAAAAGGTTGCTTTAGTTCCGTCTCAGAATCAGGGATGCATTTGGACTGTATCCCATGAATCTGCCACAGAAACCCTCAGTCAGAATTCATAGGGTTTTTTCTTCTAACCCAATGAAAATAACCAAAACTAACATTAGGAGTAGCCACGTTCGGAACAGCCATGAGCACCTTTTGCCCTGAGCCAGCAAGTACTGGACTGTCCAGGTGCCCAGAGGTGAGCACCAGGCCAAGTCACCTGCTGCTTCTCCCCTGGGCCACGTTCTGGCCCACGGGGACCCCCCATGGGCCTCGCCTGCCACACTGCAAGGGCCTGTACTACACACAGAACAAGGTGGGACTGTGGCCATTCCCCTTTTGAGGCAGGTTCCAGAGCTCCTTCTGCATCTGCTAAAGGGAGAATTAGCTTCCATCTCACAAAAATACCAAAAAGAAAACTGAGCATGAGTACACAGAGGACTGCGGAAGAACGGCTGAATTTAGTTATTAAAAAAATGGGACTACCACAAGGAGCTACCACTTCACACCCACTAGGATAACTATGTTTCTAATTTTAATAAATAAATGTTGGCAAGGATATGAAGAAACTGGAACCCTCGTGCATTGTTGGTGGGTATGCAAAATGGTGTAGCTGCTGTGGAAAACGGTATAGTAGTTACATAAAAAAATTAACTTACCATGTGATCCAGCAAGTCCATATACACAAAAAGGATTGAAAGCAGGCATTCAAACAAGCCTTTGTACACGCATTTCACAGCAGCATTATTCACAGTAGCCAAAAGGTGGAAATAACCCAAATGTCCACCAGTTATAAACAGATAAACAAAATGTGGTGTGCNAGTCATGCTAAATGAATAAGCTGGGCACAG